ATCATGTTCAGGAGGACTGTGAGTTCGTTGGATACTTCGGTTTTAGAAGCGTAATTTAGTAAGGAAACGAATTTTCATAATATTTTAGTTGTATAAGTTTTATAAATAACATTTGAAAAGGAATCGTTTTGAGCACTCTTATTTATTGTTCTGAGTAAACGTAGTGATTATATACTCTTTGGTTCTAAGGAATCCCTTCTAAATATTACTATACTCTTTGGCAGGGCATTTGAAGGATATTTGCATAGAGTAGGACATTTGATTCTCCGAAGCTCCGAGCGGAAGTATTGGCGTTTGAGTGGTTGAATTATTCCGTCTAGTCTCGTGCATCGTTCATCTTGGTAAGTCTACCACCTATAACTAAAGCAATAGAAAAGTCTATCACACAATCTGTTTCCAATATTATTGTCAACGACTTATTAAATTCTTTAAGAATTTTAATAAGAAAATAAAAATTAAATAAGAAATATAGTAATTTTTATCTGTGCTTTTCTCTGTTAAAATATACGGCAGCATTCAAATAGCAAATGTGGGTAGTTAATTATAAAAAAAGTGGACAGTGGTCCTAAATATTGTAAAAAATAATTCCAGTTGTACATATATATTGTTTGTCAATACAAAACACAATGTGTGTAACAAACATAATTGTTTAAGAATACGATACAAGGTTCTCGTATCCCAAGAAGGCTCCAAGACGTAGAAATACGGGTAATACTTCAGTTCTTCTTTTATGGTAGGTATAGGCTATAGGCTATACGTCTTTGAAATACCCTTGCCAATGATATTAAGAATACAATTTAATATTGTCTATTAAAAATTCTAGATTTGTAGATACAATTATGTATATTTTAATCAATAAAGGTTTAAACTTTACTTATATAATTTTCAAATTTTCATAACAAGTTTTATTAAATACATAACGCCTTATTAAATCACGCTTTATTATAAAATTGTAATATAATTCTGCTAGGTATGTGGCCGATTAATAATTATTAATAAAATTTATAAAACACAATATTCAAGGTTTAATTCACAAATTAAACGGCTCCGTGGCGCAGTGGCTTAGCAAGGAGTTACAGCGCTGGGGGTCGCGGGTTCGAATCCCGCACGGAACGAGTATTTTTGTGGCCTACAAGTAATTGTTCCGGGTCTGGATGTTTGTCCTTGTGAAATTTATGTTTGTAAACTGCTCCCAAGATACAGGAGAAAATCCTAGTGTAGAGGTAACGTTTTTTTTAAAAAGATAAAAAAAAACAAATAATTAGCAGTGCTACTTTTACGACTAAGCTTTATTAAACTGCATTTACTATTACATCTATCGACAATTCACTGCTGAGTGTAAGACTTCCTACAGATAGCCTAAAGATATTTGGGAAGACCATCGATCACTAATAAAGAATGTAGTGGCCAATAGCATTGGCCAACGTGTAGACGGGGTGTTTGGGCTTCATTGGTATGTATTGGAACGATGGCCCACAAGTTGGCGCGAGATCCGTGTGGTGTCGGTTTTTTACAAAAGATCAAAGGATTGTTGGCAGAGTTTGGTCGCCGCGTCCACACGTTGGCCGCGAGTTTAGTTTGCTACAAGCTCCCAGAGACTCCCAGAGTGATTACACGCATCTGATTAAAATTTTATATTCACGCTTTGAAGGGTGGATGGCCCAATTACCAGCCTTTTAGTGCCAATTTCAACTTTAAACATTCCTACTACTTTAATTAGCACGATTCAATTATTTTTGAACATTTGTTTTAATCAATAATCTATTTATCAAATAAAATTAACTTTTTTTTACAATCAGATTATTACGAGAACAATTTTAAAATTAAAAAAAATGAAGCACGTCGTTTATACGTGGTAGAACCATGCAATTATATTAGAAGTATAGTTGTAGCACGAATGGGTCGGTTCGACCGGGGAAGGACCACGCTCTCACAGAATATCAATGTAAAATAGTAGCTTACTGATGCTGTGTTTCGTATAGTGAGTGTAGAGAACCAGAGACCCTTTTTAAAGGAAACGAGGCATTTCATCTTAGTCCTCACGGGTGACAACGCATCTGCATTTTGATTCGTAATCGAGGATAGATGTAGATGTCTATGGGCCACAGCAACCACTTACCATCAGGTGAACTGTGTGCTCGTTTGTCACCCTATCCTATAAAAAAACGTCGATTTCTTATAATTTAATCGTGCAAGATTTCGAATCATCATCATCATTACAGCTGTTCACAAGTCCATTACTGAACATCCTCCTCCACAGACTGCCGCAAAGCATGGTCCTGAGCCACTTTGCTCGTCATGAGTTTTTCATTTATGTTCTAAGTTATAATTAGTACCTATTATTAAGTCAGTGTTAATTATATTTATAGCTATTGTTTTTGTCTTTCTCAAAAAATAATTAAATTACCAAATAAATTATAAGGTGTTTTTTATATACATCAAATGTCTGATAGAAAAGCAAGTACATGTTTTGTTAAACTTTAAAATCAAAACCCAATTTTAAAACATAGACTAATCGATTATAACTCCTTTAACTTTAAAATAAGTTAAGTTCTAATTAATTGTATTTATTCCAGTTTCTGATTCATGTAAAGAATAAATAAAGCTAATCGTATCTCGTATATCTATTTACAGTCCCATTAATATCCACTATTCTTTTATAATTATTTTATAAAAACATTACCCCCACACTTGGAATTTCTCCTGTATCGCGAAGGCAGCTTACAAACATAAATTGCACAAGGACACACATCCAGACCCGAAACAATTATTTGTAGGATATACAAATACTTTTTCCGTGCGGGATTCAAACCCGCGGCCCCCGGCACAGCGACTCATTGCTAAGCCACTGCGCCACGGAGCCGTCGTCTAAAATAAAATAAATTCGTCCGCACATTGGCCCGAACCGAAGTAAACTGAACGACCTTCCAACGTGTGGACGCCGTCACCAACCCTCGGCCAATATATTCGCCACTACATTCGCCACTGTGTTGGTCAACGTGTAGAGGCGACATTACGTGCGCGATTTATCTGATTAATAATAATTATGTAGGCTATTAAACGTCGGCAAGCAGTTGACATCAAAGGAGTGCAACTTCTGTACGTAATACTATTATTTATTCTATGACTATAGCAAATACGAGTGTCCAAATAGGATATACAAATACTTGTTCCGTGCGGGATTCAAACCCGCGACTCCTGGCACAGTCACTCATTGCCAAGCCACTGCGCCACGGAGCCGTCGTCTAAAATAAAATAAATTCGTCCGCACATAAACGACGTTAGACAATGCACGGCCTTCAAGCCACACCTCCGTGCCCGTCGGAGTGGGGAGCGTGAGATTTTTTCGTTACGGAATGAATTTCTGGATTCGGTCCCCACGCTCAAGGCCCGCGATAGAAGCTTTGCAATAGCTTAAAACTGAACTGATTATTTGAATAAAAAATCATGAGTGCAATTAGTTTTATCAAAATTTTCGTATTTTTAAGAAATACTAAAAAAAGGGCTTGAAATAATAGATTTTCTCACAAAAGAAGGGAACTTGAAAAAAAAAAGGAAAAAAGCTGGACCAAAGACTGGACTCAAACCACGGAACTCCGATATCACGCCCGACCGACATCCCACTTGAGCTATTACGATCGTTAGTGATCTATCAAAATTTACCTTCTTATAATGTAGCAGTTTTTTTATTGCCTGAAAACACGGATAAAAGGACATTTTCTAAAAATAAATCCTGGCTAGATCGATTTATTGCCCCGAAACTCCCTGGACACTAAATTTTATGAAAATCGTTGGAGCCGTTTCCGAGATTAGATATTTTTTTTTTTTTTTTTTTATATATATATATATATTTTCTGTGTGTGAAAATTTTTTTTTTTTTTTATCATCATCGTATATCAGTTATAGTAGTAACGACGTTTTGCTATTATAATTTATTAAATAGGTAATATACATAATATATAATTTTTTTTTTTAAATATATTAAAACTTTTACAACTATTTTTACCTACAATTAAATATTCTAAACACAAAAAAAAACTATTTCAATAATTAAAACTATTTACGTAAACAGCGTTAAAAACTTTAACATTCGATCGCCTCCAACGCGCTAGCCCTGACTGCGTTATTTCGCCCGCCGTTTAATCGCGACGCGCCGATTTTAGGTAATTATTTCACGCAGGTAGCAAGAGTGACAGAGGCCTACTATAGTTGCCACTACGGTTAGCAACTGTAGATTTTTATTTTTTAGTTGTTATTAGTAATACGCTGTTATTAGGAGAGCTGTAGTAGCTCAGGTGCTTAGCTGTCGCTGTGAATTTGACAGTACGCGTGCCACCCGGGTTCTATCGCTGCCCGGCATAAATGAAATTGTTAATTGTAATTTTAAGTGCTGATTTGCCACGTGCTCCGGTGGTGAGGGAAACGTCGCGAAGAAACCTGCATGTCTGAGAAATAAATAATTTCGAAGACATGTGCAGTCCGCCCACACGCATTGGGGCCGCGCGGCGGACTCTTCATTGTCCTGAAAATCTCTCAGGAGTGAGAGGAGGCCTATGCCCAGCTGTGGGACACATATAGGCTGTAACTTTAACGAAGATGCTGCTGCACATCTCCCGCTTTGTTTCCCTCTGTCGCTTCTTACGACGCCCACGGTACGTTAACTAAACGGTATTTACTTTGCAAATTTTAACAGTGCTTACTTTTACAACTGAGTAGTGTTATCAAACAGTGTTTACTTGCCAAGGTGAGGCTTCAAACAAATAAAATAATGTTTCTGTGTACGTTTTCAATGGGTTCCTATATCATGTAACATATTAGGTACTATAAAAACTTGATGAGGCCGCTAAGGTTTCCAACACAAAATAAAACGTTGTAAATCATGTCGGGCGCTGCTACTGTGGTATAATTTTGAGGAATGAGAAGGATCATACCACCTTTTTTTCCAAATGCCAAATTTCCCTACATACGCTTTTGATATACGAACAAGGAAGGACGTAATTATGGCCGAAAAGCCATACAAAGATGATGAACCCAAACCCAGAATGGTGATCAGTAGCGGTATTACCACAGTTTATCAGGTCCAGTAGATCAGGTATTATCAGAACTAATAATACCGACGGTATTATGTGTCCTGCGCCTAATCCCTCTGCGATTATATTGGGTTGTCGTCCCAGGGGATGTGAGAATGAGGGTGCTTCTGTGCTCACGCATACTCTTTTGCTTCGTAATGCTGTCCTGCGCAGATGGCTAGCGTCGGTTAAGATTGGCCGCCGTGACCGAAATTGGGTCTGCAGGATACACACATTGACTCTGCAATTACCAGCCGAGTGGGTTACAGCCTAGTGGCCAAATTAGAACACAATGGGAAGTAGAATATCTTCAATTAAGAATCAAAATGCAGATGCGTTGTTACCCCTTAAGTCTAACATAGAATGCCACGTAACCGGGTAAACAGGTATCCGGTTCTCTAACCTGCAGCATGTCCCATATACTGTATCCTGTGTCCTAAGTCTGTACTACATTTAACCAAAAGCATTATTACGTAAGGGTTATATCGGGTGAGGTTAGTGAGTGTTTTTGTTGGGTGAGGTGAGTGAGGTTTTATGCATTAATCTAGCACTATAACGATATTTGATACTCATTTCACTCGAAATACTTCAAAAGCTCAATTCTCTAGATATACATACTACTTGAAAAATAAAAAAAATCGAGAATTAGAATCCATCAAAACGCGTTGGGGCAGCGCGGCGGACGTGTATTAGCCCTGAATCCGTTTTTTTATGTTTTGTTTCTACGCGAAATTCTCGTCAAATATTTAAAACCGTACATTTTTATTACATTTAAAAGTTAATTGTTTTTCTTACTATCTTTTTCTGTACTTCAGGTTATACTAATGCCGGAAGACCTGGACCGTGGGTATCTCCGGTCACAGCTTCCACGTCTTCATTAGCACATGTAAGAAATTATGCTAGCGTTGTAGTATATCACACATTTCTTAGTACAACCTTTGCCCCGCGGCTTTGCTCGCATGGGATTTATTTACCTAAGGGAAAACCGTCTGTAAATTTTTCACATATGTAAGTATAAAAAGTAAGTACTAAAGTATAGTAATTAAACAAAAATCATCTCAATTTTTACATTCTTATGATAAATAATAATAAAAATCATAATTTGTGTAGCAATTTATATTTTAAACGTATAAAAGTATCTAAATAGTATAAGATGGTAATAACATACTAATGTTGCGCGCCACAGTTGATGGCACTAGCCCCATCTATTATCGAACAGAGGAACTAAGCTTTCTAGAAAGCCCCACACTCGAACTTTCTGCACCTGGTCGGTCGGGCCCGTATTTGCTGGAATATTCTAGATGTTTCGGTGGAAGAGCCCTATTTAAAGCCGTAAGTTTTAATTGGTGTTCGGTAATTAAAGTGTTAATTCAATCAGCAGTTTTAATTGTCACGAAGCATAAGCTCGTAACAATAGTAATGATAACAGTTAAAGCGATTATAATTGATAATAAGAGCTGTTAAATTTGGGCTTTCCATTATAAATTCTTAATTTTTACGAAAACAATAATCGCTTAAAGTTGAGCCGTTATTGTATCGATTTTCTGTCCATCTATTAGAGTGTCCATTTTTTATGTGGCACTAAATTTGTTATACGTAGTTAATATATTTTTTTATTCTATATTGCTACACCTGCGTCAAATTCTAACCATTCGATGGGTTAAGTGGTAGAAAATGCCTCAAGGCTTTTTAAGTCCGCCCTGTGTATTCTTTTGGTTCAACGAATGCAATAAAAATAAATACTCGTAATTAAATAAATTTGCACTCAATTCATAGAAAAAATTGAGATTTTGATGACTCTACAATGCTAGTTTAACAGATGTTGCTCTTACCACTTATCTCTTATATCACAACACAGTATTAAGCATTCAAAAATTTGTATTTTGAAAATTACTTTACAGCACCACAAAAAATTTGCCGCTTTGCCGCGGTACAATTACGATAAAAAATCCGTCACTTTATGCGCTAGACCCTAATTGCCCAGCGTTACTGAAGTGAGCGAATCGGATAATTCAGTAGAAAAAAACCTCAATTGTCTAACATAAAGACTGACAAAGAAATATCAGCGATGAAAACTGTTGATGAAAAGACCGTTGAAGAATTTTTCTCTCAACATTTTGCTGAAAATCCTACTAGTGGATTAGTTATAAGTCCAACGTTGGCAAGGAAAATAAACGAGACTAGTTCTGAAAGTGGTGAAGATTGTGTTGATGAAGAGAAGGATATGGTTACAAAGCGGCAACTAATGACTATGACAGACAAAATCTGTAATGAACTTGATAAGCGTACTGAAAATTTAAACACAAATTTTGAAATAACTTATGAAGAAAACAGGCTTAACTATCCTCACGCTTCAAATTCATATAAATATGGTATTGGATATTCAACTTCTAAAGAAAATAACACTAAGCCAGTAAAGGGTATTAGGTTAAAATTCAAAGCAAAAAATGCAGTAACTGAATATAACGAAAATTTCTCTGGCCCGAATATCAAAACGAATATAAACGGTAAAGAGCTTACAGATAATAAAGCGAATACGCCTCTAATACGAAGAAAACGTAAATTATATTCCTCAAAAGACGAAAAATGTAATGAAAGCTGGCACAGTGACTGCGAAAATGTAAGCGAAGCTGTCTCTAATAAAAAATCTAAAATAACATTCTATAAAGGAATAGAGAAGGAGCGCAGGGAATATGAACGTAAATTGCGAACCAGGAAATTGAAAAAAATATTTCTGTCACCAGAATCAAATAAAATGAATGATATGTTGGATAAATTAAAAAATAATAACAATAGCAATGAAAAATTTATTTTGGTTGATAAAGCAAATGATGTTTCAATTTATAATTTTGCTAGCGATAGCACAGATGATGACTTTCGATTAAGTAAAGTAAAACGCAATAATATAACTTCAGGTAGTAGCGTTAAAGCTCCGTCGATTAAGGATAAAATAAAAGAAAAGGTTAATGTTAAGCGAAAACGAAGCCACCGCCCGAAATTGATTATTAAATTTGAAAAGTCTGCGGAGCCACTTATTGATGAACGTATGAGAAAAACTGCTGTAGACGTATTAAATACGTCACTAGAAATTCAAAAACCTCTACAAAGTAAAATTAATATGGAACCTGCTCCCAAATTGGCAATGAAACATAAAATGGAAGGAATTACGGATGATGAAGTGAAAATAACAGAAAATTTTAAAGGCAACAGCGTGAAAAAAAGACAAAAAAGAAACGGAAAGGCACTTTCACTGAATAAAAAAAAACGTTCAAAGCAAGTTAAAAAAACAACTTTATTAAGCGACACGAGCGATGGAACTGTAAGTCCACTACCCGATTTAATCATAGAAAAGGTACCAGCCCGTAAAGATAATGATCCACTCACATCTGATATGATAGAAAGATTTCAAAAAATGTTCGAAAAATTATTTGATACAAAAGGAGGTGAATTAAATACAACTCATAATGTGAATAAAGATGATGATTACAATGAGCGGAACAGCTGTTCACACATGTTTAATATTACTGAAGAGTTAAATCAAATACCAAAATCTGCGACATCTCAAGATTGTAATAAACAGAAAGTTGAAGATACTCAGAAAATATGTGACAGCTATTCAAGTAATTCCAGTGTGAACGATTTGCTTAAAAGACCTGTTCCTACAACTAGTAGAGGTACTATTTTGTTGATTTATTCTAATCGTATTGTTTTTTTTTTAAATTAATATAGAATTATTTTTCAGCTGAATCACTTGAGTTCGGTTTTAGAGAGAACATGCTCAGCGTATTAGAAAAATTAGACACAACACTTACTGAAATAAATTACAATACAGATAAGAAGTAAGATATTTTTTTTTCAATTAGTGTTTGTTTTTTATTCGATATTAAGTTTCTAATGTTTTAATTAGAAGAATTTACTTATGTTTAAATTTTATTTGTTTATAAGTTATGTGCCAATCCAGTGTTAAATTAAAAAATTAAATATTTATATTACAAATCACGGTAGACGAATTCCCTTCACATTTACAAATTCACACTACTAATCGTAAAGAGTTTTTACGTGGTAGAGCCACTGTATTATAGTTGTAGCACGAATGGGTCGGTTGAGCCGAGGGGAAATACTACGCTCTCACAGGATACTAACGTAAAATAGTAGCTTAATGCTGCTGTGTTTCGTATGGCGAGTGTTGAGAACTGGATACCCTTTTTACTGGAAACGAGGCATTTCATCTAAGTCCTCACGAATGACAACGCATTTGCATTTTGATTCTTAATCGAGGATAGATGTAGATGTCTACGGGCCACAGCAACCACTTACCATCAGGTGGACTGTTAGCTTGTTTTTCACACTATACAAAAAGGGTAACGTAACGATTTGTAAATATAGAAACCAGACATAAGGCGTATTTTATCTTCTCATTTTATTTTCTGATAGGGATTATCATAGTTTTTGTACAAAGAAACCATACGCTGCTTCCTTTCAACGGACTAAGTGTCTATGTCATATCTGATATATATGAGATAGCTACTTGTTTAACGCTATCTGAGGCCATAATTTTATATACACTTTCTATATTCTCCTCCTAAGATAACCACGGGACAGCGCGACTGCAATAGACCGTTAAAAATCTATTTCAAATTTCTTGCAGCCCGGACATCTTCATAAGCGATAAGACCACCCATTGTACTGCCATTTAAGTTATTGTGTCCTTGGTAATTTTTAACACTGATTCTGGAGTGTTTTTATTTATTATTTTGTTTAATTAAATATTTTCTACTTGTTCTAAATGTTACCTTCACAATAGGATTTTCTCCTGTATCGTCGAGGCAGTTTACATACATAAATTTTACAAGGACAAACATCCTTTCCCCATTTTATATCTCTATCTACGCCAATAATTGAAATGTTTATTATTTTAGATTTATAAACTTGTTCTTGGAAGCGCAGAAGGAGCTTAATCAGATGAAGGACCAACGCCGTACTCAATACGAGGAAGTCGCTAATAGTTTGCTCAGCGACATAGTGAAGCTGATCGAAGTCAGATTCTCCGAACTGGATAGGAGGTGAATTATTTGACTGTCATACTACGTGTAATCTAAATAACCGCATGAATAGAATAGAATAGAATCACTTTTATTCAATATAGATCACATGTAATTCTTATTGAAAGTCATTTTTTACATTTACCACTGTTTTGGAAAAAAAAACCTCTGCTCTAAGAATAACCAGCGAGAAAGCCAACTAACCAAGACTTTTTTTAAAGCATAACTTACAATATAATGTTTATACAATTGTTATGAAAACATCTAGGAACAGCATGGTAGCGACCACTTAATTCCCAGGGGTTATTATCAACCGTGTTGTACCGTGTGGTACTTTTTAGTACTTTAATAACTATAAAAATAGTTTGAACCTTTTGATAGATAAAGGGTATGTTCCGAAATACAACGCAGTGTACTGTCCAATGCAAATGACGTCATGAATCGACGCTATACTGGTGATTCGTTCCAAAACATTGAACAGTATATGACGTCATACTTTTGCGCCATTTGGAAAAGTGTTGGCGATTATTTTGTCATTTTGTGCTCCAAAAATCGTTATATCCTCCTAATGGATATAACATCAATTATTGTATAATTTTTTGTATTTGAATAAATAGAAACAAATTCTGCCATGCTTCATTCGGCAAACACACAATTAAAAATTGTTTTATTATAGCCGGATATCCGACACAATATGGCGGCGGCACGCTAGTACAATAAAGTGTCAAATTATGACGTCATTTGCATTGGACAGTACACTGCGTTGTATTTCGGAACATACCCAAAGTCTGCATATTTTCTGGGACTATTGTAAAAGCGCAATAATAAATATAAAATAATAAATACATCATCAACATAAAATAGCAGCGGAATTACTGACTAGTATTTACATCACTATTTTAATTATTATACTAATTTTTGTGCACGGTTTTACGTTTTTTTAAAGGAAATACTAGTAACGCTGTCAGCAATAATATTTAACCGTTTCCAAGTAAACTGAAAATGCTTGTGCCAAGAGTTGTTTACAAAGTAGTCGAAGTGCGGATTCGAATCCTCACTTTTTCGAGCTTGCAGTCCATTTTTTAAGCGATTAAAAAAAGGAGAATGATATCTATTCGAGTGTATGTTCTATGTTACTTGATATCGTCGTCAACTGTGGCCCGATTTTAATGATGCTTAGGTAACCATAGGCGTGGTCTCATATAAATTTTGAGGAAAACCTCCACCCTTAAGTGTGGGGAAAAATGGGGGTAAAGCTTCATTCGCATAGTTAAACTATTTAGGGTCAATTCACACCGAGACGCTACGCGGCGTGCACTTTTTAATGCACTTATGTAGTTGTATGTAAATATAATATATTGAGTCTGTATTAAATTTTATAGTATATAAATTTATTATATGTATATAATATTAGTTTATTTTTAAGTTTATCATTATTTTTTTCCTGATTTACTCTATTGTTAATTTTATTTTGTCACCTGTCACATAATTTCCACACGTCCCGGGTTGACTGGGAGAGAATGCTTAAAGACATTAAATCCGTCCCTTGTAATCCTTCTTATTAACGTGTAATAAAGTGTAAATAAATAAATGTTGGTGCGAGAAGACCCACGAATCACATATACGGACATCGAACAGATTGTGGGCATTAGCTTGGGAAGCATTTATACCATCCTACATCAACATCTTGAAGTGAGGAAGCTTTGTTGTCGATGGATCCCTCGTTTGCTCTCCGAAAGCGTAAAACAGACTCGTGTGGATTGGTGCCATGAAATGCGTCTACGTTTTGAAAATGGGGCATTTAGGCGCGTTTTAGAAATCGTTACTGGTGACGAGACATGGATCTATCAATACGATCCGAATGGAACTCTGTATAGAGCATGATGGAGAATATTTTTATAAATATTAATAGTATCTAGAATACTTCTTATATATCTGAAAACTTATTGAGTGTCCTAAGTAGTGATACAAAATATAGCTTTATTTGCTACTCAAAAAGATACACATTTTATTGCGATAATTCGAAAATGCCCCACGGCGTAGCGTGACGCAACACAACGCAGCTGCGCTTCCTCCGTAATCTTGCGGAGAAGGAGGGAGGAATAAGAATATGAAAATAAAATTAAAAAGGAAACATCCCATAGGAGTATATGGATACATAATTCCGCGTGGCGTTCCGTTACCCAGCGACGAGTCACGCGGCGCGGTGCGAAACGTCTCGTCTCTGTGTAAACTGACCCTTAGATGATATTCGATATTATGATATTCCTCAGTCGATTCAAACGGATCAAATAATTAAACGTTTAATAAAAAGTAGAAGCCGACTTCAAAGAATTTAATTGACATGGTAGAGCCTCGCTGCAGCTGTATTATGGTGGCAGCACGAGTCGGTCGGTCCTACCGGGGTAGGGCCACGCTCTCACAGAATACCAGCGTAAAATAGCCGCTTAATACTGTTGTATTTCGTATGGTGAGTGTCGAGAACCGGATACCATTTTTACTGGAAACGAGGCATTCTATCTCAGTCCTCACGGGTGACAACGCAACTGCATTTTGATTCTTAATTGAGGAGATACGTATGTGTTTAAGAGCCATAGCATCCACTTACCATCAGGTGGACTATGTGGTCGTTTATCACCCGTATACTATAAAAAATGCGTGTAATAAGCAAAGCAAAGGAGTGTAATTATTGGCATGCACCTGTTTTTTCATGCTCGAGACTGGTAACATTGGTTCTTACCTACCATATTGGTGTAAATAATAAGCCTTAATATTATGGTCGCCACACACGGTCAGTTCAACTGATCATTCCAACTGATGAGTTCAAAATAAAACGAGGCATTCTATCTCAGTCCTCACGGGTGACAACGCAACTGCATTTTGATTCTTAATTGAGGAGATACGTATGTGTTTAAGAGCCATAGCATCCACTGACCATCAGGTGGACTATGTGGTCGTTTATCACCCGTATACTATAAAAAATGCGTGTAATAAGCAAAGCAAAGGAGTGTAATTATTGGCATGCACCTGTTTTTTCATGCTCGAGACTGGTAACATTGGTTCTTACCTACCATATTGGTGTAAATAATAAGCCTTAATATTATGGTCGCCACACACGGTCAGTTCAACTGATCATTCCAACTAATCAGTTCAAAATAAAACTGTTGATATTTTTTAAAATATTGAATTTTCGATATATCGATAAGTAAACTTATATACAAAATTTCGATGTTGATATATTTATAATTACAGTTTTAGTTTGAACTGATCAGTTGGAATGATCAGTTGAGCTGACCGTGTGTGGCGACCATAAGTTTAGTTAATATTAAGTCTCTTAACACTTCCTTTTACAAGTGAAATCCGAGACTATTTCAGTGGGAATCTTATCGGAAATTCTATGCCACCTTAGCAGAAATCCGTTTTGTTGCATTAAAATAAATATTTACAAATAATTGCTAACATCCTCAACCATAAAGCTACTGTAACTCTAAGCTAAACTTTAAAAGTTACCCCCGCACTATATATATTTATCTTCTCTATCAAGTCATTTTACATAAATATATACATGGACATGGACACATATCCAGACTCTGAATGATTATTTGTTGGCCATATACCTCCTAACCCATATAACCCGTATAACATAACCCCTTGCACTTGCGTGAGTGATCAGGCGCAAGATCAACGGCTTTAGATGCATTCCGAATTCCGATGCGGGGGGGGGGGGGGGAATGGGCAACTTGCAAAGTGCAACCAGTGAAATTTAATTTTGTCCAATTTTATCTACTTCTTAAGCTACGCTAATGGGTGTTAGAAAGTTCTCGAGTCATTTGTTTTTATTTACATTTCTTTTTTAAACCAGGTCGCAAGAAATGGACGAGCAGTATAAGGAAGATCTGAAAGAACGCGCTCGCAAGGTTATCCTAGATGATTGTAGGCAGAAACGAGCCATGGTGACCTTGCTGCGTGAAGATGTGCAAGCCGTATTAGACTTTGTACATAAAGATAAAACAAAAAAATTAGAAACGTGAAGAGGGTGCATTTTCGATTTGGCATGTTAGTGGGTTAACAGATTTTGTTTTCTAGGAGTGCGTTACATTGTTGTAAAGAGGGACTGATGTGAAATATTCCCCAAGGATGGACCATTAAACTTCCTACTTTTTACTTCATATATAACTGTATTATATATTAAAAGATATTCTTCTTTATGTTAAGTTTAATAGATTATTTCGTTAATAATAATAAACAAAAAATAATAATAAAGGAATTCAATATTTTTAAATTATATGCTGTGATATAATTTTATAGGATTATTAATTAATTTTATAGCAATATTATTCTGATTATCGAAAATTCCATAATTTTAATATTTTATACAGGCTGATGTAAAATATCCCCCAAGGATGGACCCTTCAACGTCCCACTTTAAACTTCATATATCAATGTATTATATATTAAAAGATATTATTCTATATGTTAAGTTTAATAGATTATTTCGTTAATAATAATAAACAAAAAAATAATAATAAAGGAATTCAATATTTTTAAATGATATGCTGATTAATAATTTTATAGGATTGTTAATTAATTTTATAGCAATATTATACTGATTATCGAAAATTCCATAATTTTAATATTTCATACAGATGTAAAATATGCCCCAAGGATGGACCCTTCAAGGTCCTACTTTTTACTTCATATATCAATGTATTAGATATTAAAAGATATTCTTCTTTATGTTAAGTTTAATAGATTATTTCCTTAATAATAATAAATAAAAAAATAAAATAAAATAATTCAATATTTTTAAATTATATGCTGATGATATAATTTTATAGGATTATTAGTTAATTATTATAGCAATATTATTCAGATTGTCGAAAATTTATAAATTTTTTACAATTTATACATAATTTTAATGTTTTATATACAATAAATGTTTCGATTTTAATTTTTGTTTTTTATTCCTGGTCCTTTATTTATTATTGTCTACAAGTCTACCGCTGAACATAGGTCTCCCCCGTAATGGGGGGGGGGGGTCAACGTAGCACAACCAGCTATGAAGAGGGTTATTTTCGGAGTCTACGGAGTTCCTCTCTGTGATAGACTTCGTAATGAGAATGTCCACCGTAGAACCAGAGTAACCGATATAGCCCAAGGCATTAGTAAGCAAAAGTGGCAATGAGCTAGTCACATAAACTCGAAAAACTGACAACTGACGCGGAAGAAAGGTTCTCGCGCGGCAGCCTTGTACCGGCAATAGAATTATAGGGATGCCTCCTCACTCGATGGATTGACGACTTTGGAAGACCAAAGAAGTCGGTGAATGCAGGTGGGTTAGAATCGTGTGGAATGCCGCATTTCTTGAGGAAGGTTTTAATTCAGCAGTTAAATTGCGATGGGTTGTATGATAATGACGATGAGTTATCAAATGTATTGGTCTGAGCGGCGTTTTAACACGTGCTCTGTGTGGAATGTGTGGAAACCCAGGTATGTCCGTATCAGAGAGAGTATTTCATTAATAGGTGAAATTTGAAGTTCTCCAACAAGCATCACAAGTTGAAAATTTACCGATAAGCTTTAAATATATTAACTTAAACATATAAACTTTCACGCCTGTCACTCAGAGGGGTAGGTAGAGGGTAGAGACAATGGATTTTCATTTTGTACGATCCTGACAAGCCATACTCAACCTTTTTTTTATGAGGGCCACAAACACGTTTCAGTGATGGTGCCGAGGGCCGCAAGCAAAAATTAAAATTATTTAGGTCTTTAGGTATAAAAACTAAATTCCAAGTTAACGATTTATTTACTTTATTAGTGAAAAAAGAAGTTTTAAAAAGGATGTTTGATATTCCCCTAAAGCATTCTGTCTGAACCATTGTCTAATGCTGCTCAAATGGTATATAAAGTAGTTAATGTTTTGTGTAAATAATTTAAGAAATTGTAGTGTGTTATTTAGTTATAAGGTACAATGGGACTGACATGTTAAAAATAACGTAAGCCCCTAAATTAAAAAAAAGAATTAAAAAAAAATAAGGATGTTTATATGTTTTAATGCGATTTTTGATACTGTGAACACTTTTCTAAAACTTTTTCATGATCTGGCTTCTCGCTGCATGCTATCCTTATTATATCGTCCAGGTGATAATCCGTAAGTTTGTTCCTGTACACGTTCTTTGAGTATTTCATTTTTGAAAAAGACGATTCGCACACATATTTAGACCCACAGAATGTTAGTAGTATTTGGTCACATCTTTGGACGCTTATATATTTTTGGGGAACAATACTGCAAAATGCCACATATTCCCTGTTTGCGCTTTTTTCTTCAAGGTGAAGTGGGCGCCAAAAGCAGATTTTTCACACTTTATAGGTACGCAGAAAATCAATTTTTTGTCATTAAAAACTCTGAATTCACAGTTTTTTTTAATTCATTATGAATGTTAAAGATTTTTCTTAGTGAGTTATGGTAGCCAAAACACGATTGACACATTTTGGCTCGATAGGAAAAGATCGCAATGTTTCCTCAAAATCTAAAATTTTAGGTACGTCCACTAACACATCAAACAACTCTGAGTAATTACAATTTAAAACTGAAGCCAACTCTGAGATAGTCGGTGTTTCTAAATGCCATAGATTTTCTATGAGTAACAAACTTTTCTTTATTTTTTCTTTAGATCTTGGAATCTTTTTCTAAATTCGTATAAAAGTGCAGTTATATAATTTGAAATTATGGAGCAGTTTTCTTCCGAAATGTTAGTACCTTTCTCTGTAGTTTTTATCATAGTTTGAAAATTTTGCAGCTGTTTGTTATGTATTTCTTCATGATCAATGCTTAGCTTTACCTCAAATGCAAACTTTTTATTGGAGACCATATTATTTTCACCTTGTAAACTCCGATTAATAGATAGAAAGGTTAAAATACACCACCATTCATCATTTTGTAATTCAGAGTACACTTTATTATTTTGCTCTAAAACAATATTATTTCATGGCGTAAAGAAAAAACCTTTCCAAACTTTTTTCTCTACTAAGCCATCGCACCGAGGTATATAAAAGGACGTCGTTATACTGAAGTGGCCGCCGAAGAAGATTAGTCAATTTTTACCATCCGTCAAGTGTATTATCCCTCTACAAGATGCAGGAGTGTACAAGTTAGATTGTGAATGTGGTCTTTTTTACATAGGTCAAACAAAAAGATCCACAAAAACCCGCGTGAAAGAACATATAGCTGAAGTGAAGCACCGACGCTCCGGGAAGTCTGCAGTCTGTGAACATGTTCAAGATCGTCCCCACCATTACATCAGATTTGATAAACCACAAATCCTCGCAAAAGAACACCGATTTCTAGCAGGAATGATACGCGAGCTATTGAAATTAAAAAAACATCCTAATTTCAATAGAGACGATGGATGGGTGCTGCCATCTGCTTGGGATCCTATAATTAACAAAATTAAATCCAAACCCAAGCATACCACTGCAGGACTTCGAGATACTGTAAGCTCGTTCTACATAGATCGCACCGAAATATTAAAAAACTGAAGGTAGCCGAACTAACTATAACATTGGGACGTCAAACATCTCAGTCCCCCCGTGACCATGGGTGTTGTAAAGCATAAATGATGATTTTTTTACTATGTATTGAACCACATGAAACGTTCACAAAGTTACCAGTAACAGAGGCACCATAATTCCTCAAAAACAGAATTCTCTTATCTGTGGAAAGATTTGCCACAATCTGGGTATTATTCACTTTTACAGGCATTCACATTAAAATTTTGAACCATTTTAAACCAAAAACCCTCAAATAAACCACAATTAAGAGAATAAGTGACTATTTTATGAAACTGATACCCCCTTTCGGTAGAGAGTAATTGTGTTTTACGGATACGCCAATTCTTTTGATCTGTTTTAGATTATAAGCCGCAAAAAATCACAATATTAATATTTATCTACAATGTTCGTCAAAAAGCCTGTGTAACGGACATTGCACTTTTGATGTCGGTATTTATGTTCGAATGCTTTGTAATTACCACACTATAAACTTATTTTTGTTTAATGGCAACTGGAGACCCTTTTAACTGGAAATGAGGCATCCCACCTCAGCCCTCAGGGCTGGCAACGCATCTGCATTTTAATTCTTAATTGTAGATAAATGTAGATGTCTATGGACCACAGCATCCACTTACCATCAGGTGGACAGAGTGCTCGTTTGTTACCCTTATTCGATAAAAAAAAACTGTAGGAACGAAACAGCGCGACTCACAAGTGAGTTTTTGTCTAGGCCGTGAATCCTTACTTTTATGAGTTACCTAAATTCAACTTTATTATGTTCGATTTAAAGTATGAATTGAATTGACATTAAATTACGAGTTACCATTCTAGTTTTTGTTATAACTCACAACATCTAGTTATACTGGCTCCTACCATACCAAGCTCTGTACCTTTCAGACAGGAACATACCTGCATGCACTGTTATTTGACAGCAAGAACAGGTAAAAATAAATACTCAATACGTTTATTTACCATCTATACTTATGTTACGATTTTGTTGGTATTTAGTAATACAGTAGTTTACTATGGGTCCTGTTAGACTCTGTCAAGTACACAAAGTCACAAATGAGATTGTCCTTTCATTTAGAATGGATTTTGATAAGAAACTAATAATTCTAAATCTCGTCCAATCAAAAAGGTCGAGGGTTTGAATCTGCCATTCGACTAGTGGCGTGAACCACTCGTAACACAAGCAATTTAAGCTTACCACGAGTGGATAACGGGAATATTAGTAATGTTTTATAGCATTGTTTTGCCTTTTATTGTCTAAAAAAAATTTAAAACTCACGATACTACAGACACTTTTAAATCTTTTTTAAGTATGTGTACATATTTCAAAGTTCATATTGATAACAAAGTTTTAATATTTTTAAGAATAGCGAATGTTATATTTTATCAATGGTGTACTAAAATCGAGGAGATACGACCAAGGATTTCTTTTTTGCGGTAAACGCGAAGGCTTGAGTCTTTTGGGGGTTAAACTGGACTAGATTTAGTCGCCCCCAATTCGAGACTTTGTTCAACAAAAACTCGACAGACACAGTTTCGGCACTCGACGACGTGTTCCAGAGAAATATTAGCACCGTCAGAACTGGTGCCAACTCTGGGGCACATGTCTTAAGCCCAATTGTGGGTATTCCTTCAGGCCCACTCGACTTGTTGACGTCTAGGGACAGGAACGCTTTACGCACAGAGCGCTGTGTAAACTGCACATCCGGTATTGAGCACTCACACCGCTGAATGGTCAGGGATATGTTCACCATACCCACAAATCATACCAACGTGACGCCGGGGTGGGAGGTTAGCTATTAATAAATTTTTGTTCCCTCGGTCATTCCCTCAGCCCCCAAGCACAGCACCCACCCACAACACTTTAAACCTTAAAACTTATATTTAGAGACTACTTTTCTTTACCGCTCGCTCGGGATTCGGGGGCTGAGGAGCACCTAATAAAATATTTGGATATAATGACAAGACAGCTGACGATAAGACTTTGCTTCCTTGAGAGAAAAGTAAAGCCACACCGGGGTAACACTTTTAGGGCTGTAGCTGCATGGAAGTGAAAGGCTGGTGAACTATATAAATACGAAAATATGAGTATCTAAGAGATAGCTAAATATTAAATTCTGGGCACTATACCGCAGGGAGCAGAGCTGTACGATCCTTTTAATTTTTTTATTGCTATAGTTGTTGTTTAATTTTCATTACATAATATATATTGTTAGATATAGGGTGTAAAAGATAAAAAGAGATAAACAGAAGTGAGGTTAGGACTTGAAATCGAATATAACTACTTAAACGCACGTATATCACGTAATCGAGGATAGATGTAGATATCTATGGGCCACAGCAATCGCTTACCATCAGGTGGACTGTGTGCTCGTTTGTCACCCTATCCTATAAAAAAATAACGTCGACGTAGGCGCCGTGTTGGGTAATTTTGTCTTTATTCCATTGGTTATCTTGTTTGTCGTGATTCTGCCTTGGTGGTATCCCACTAGAAGAAGCAGGGAAGAGTTTCCTGCACTAAAGCCGACCAGCGTCGTTGTTGATTAGCTTAGATCCCTAAACCTTGATTTGATCCTAACATTGCTTTTAATGTGTTCGTAAAGTTTCATCTCAATCGGCTCAGTCCCAAGATTAGCCCGGACAGTAAGACACAAAAAGTTTAAAATGTAAAGGTGTCATGTAATGTAATGTGCCTGAGGTTAATAGAAACTAGTTACTTCAATATTACACATAGACACTTCAATTTTATTTATAGCTATAAATAGCGTACGCAAAAGAGAAAGTTGATCATCCGCTCTCACATCATAATTATTTATTGACAAAAACCTGTCTTAATGTATTTTTTCGATATTTTAGAGACCAAATACTAAATTATACGCATAACCAAATTTGTGAAAAATTTTGTCTGTGATTGTCATATTTTCTGGAAAAATAAAAGCTCAAATTGAATATTAATCAGTTGTTTTCTTTTGTTAAATCATAGAAATTAGAAAAAAAAATAAGCCCATTTGTTTATATTGCCATATTTTTTATTACACAATAAACTCATAACGCTCAGTTATTGTTTTTAGAAAAAATATATTACGTTCTATTTTGTATTATTACTGAACAATAAGTGAAGTGTGTATGTTCATGAGCTTGGGTTACAAAGTGCTGCCAATATTTTAAATTTTTTATCCTCTTCCTTGTTTAATTTCATGCATATCGTTTGGCCATCAATACCTACATGTAATTCACCATCTGATTTTTGCACAAATCTAGCGGGAATGTGTTCTTGCCCTAAAATAAAATATAAACGTCCCCTTATTACTAGTTCGGTGTTTGCTTTCGACTCATTTTGCGATTTTTTGATATTTTTTACCAATGCTTCAGTGAGGTTATCATTGGTATGATTTGACTCTCCTTCAGTTTCTAAGCTTGAAATTGATGGGGGAGTGATATCCTCGTTACTGCTGTATAGAAAATCATTATTTCGTACATCTTCATTGCCGTTGGTAACACTTACAACTGTGTTATTTGCAAATTCACGTGTTATTATTTTTTGGAGTGGGATCTCACTTTCATTGAATATTTTTTTGTAAATCTTTGCATATGTAATTATAATATTTTTATCCTTATCTTCATAATGAGATTTCGATAGAAACGTAGGATTTTTCACATTTCCTAAAATTGTGTTATTAATTATGTTTTCAGAATTATTGTTATGAGACACGGTACTTAGATCATTTTGGTTAGAAGTGGAGTGTTTTTTACTAAGTAAATACGAGGCTACGATGTTTAGTGAAGTATTACGGAAGCCTTGGTGTTTTAAATCATCCCTAAAAGTTTCTAAAGAATTTTGTTCTCTAGTAAATTTATCGTTTTTATTAGAATGGGAAGTGTAACCTTTGCTCTCCTCCCAAGATCCTAAGTTAACTGAAGCTTTCTTAGCAATATCAAATATTTGTTTCTCAGTTGAACTGACGTTCGTACTGTTTATTAAATCCTTATCTTCACTTTTATTAATGACAATTTCATTAATTTGCGTTATATTGAAACCATCCGTAACCGTAGAAAAAGGTAGAGGAAGTAAGAAATCAGATTTAACTGGTGTGTTATGTGTTTCATCAGCAGATCTGGCAGATAAAGCCTTTCCCAAATAACTATTTGAAACATGATCTTCAACATTTTCTAATTTGCGGGCTTCAACAGTCTCTGCAGGTACTCGGCGGTGCATTACCTTGATATTTGGGTGATTCCTAGTTTTGTTTTTGGTACTCGCTGCAATAGTTTCAACTGTATTAAAATCACTATATACATTTTCAGACATTGTTTGTGATTTAGTACTTTTTAATAAATATAAATCACCATTACCATAATTACTTGTACTAGTGACAGGTCTTTTTGGTCTTTTGGGCCACTTATTTATGATTTCACCTAAACTGCTTGTAATATATTTTTCAGGTTCTCTGCATTTATTTTCTATAGCCTTTATTAAGTCACTATTTGACAAATCATTAAGCATTTGAAATTTGTTTGCTCTCCACAACTTTAATAATGTACTTACGTTATTGTGTTTTCTAGACAATGAAAGAATATGGAGATCTACGCAATGAGATAAGGTTTTTTCCATTTGATGCAAGTATTCAGAGCTATGGCTAGTTTGGCCGCTAGATTTTCCGTCGATCGATTTTTCACCTACAATAACGTCTAAATACTCATGTTTCCCTGTATTTAATTCCTCCAACAGTATTTCGTCATTCCTCACATGTTTTATGGTCTTTTTTTCTCTTGTAAACTTTGCTTTCACTTTCACAGTCGGATTTATAAAATAAAAGGGCTGTTCGAAATATGTTATACTTTTAATGGGATATAACTCAGATGGCTCATAATAAATACGATTTTCTCGAAGCGTTAATACAGACGTCGCCTTAAACATAGGTGCAATTTCATATTCTTCTGCGCAATAATTACATTGCGGGTCCCAGGGCAGGGATAATTGTCTGGAAAACCTGAAAAGTAGACTAAGTGTTACAGTTACTTTTTACTCTATGCAATAAATTAAATAATTTGTATAAAACGTTTTTTTTTTACAGATATTATCGTGTTTCATTTACTAGTTTTTATATTCTCTATATAGGGCAAACAAAAAGGCAGGCTCCAGAAAGGCTATAATTTGTACCATGTTGAGGGTTGTCCCTGTTATACGACAGATGTGATAGACCACAAATACTGCAGAAAGCCCAGATACCAAAGAGTATTCGTAAAGATATTGAAATATAAAACATTCTTCACGCGTTTTGTTACGTGGTCGAGCCATGCTGCAGTTATATTAGTAGTATAGTTGTAGCACGTGTGGGTCGGCTCGACCGGGGAAGGACCACGCTCTCACAGAATACCAGCGTAATATATATATATATATATATATATATATATATATATATATATATATATATATATATATATATATATATATATATATATATATATGTATACGCTTAATGCTGTTGTGTTTCGTATGGTAAGTGTAGAGAACCGGAGACCCTTTTTACTGAAAACGAGGCATTCCATTTTAGTCCTCATGGATGACAACGCATCTGCATTTTGATTCGTAATCGAGGATATAATATGTAGATGTCTATGGTCCACAGCAGCTACTTACCATCACGTGGACTGTGTGCTCGTTTGTCATCATATCCTATTAAAAAAAATCTAATTTCAGTTGCGTAAATAGCTGGGTGCTTATATCTTGTTTAGAATTCTAAAGTTTAATAATTAGTTCATTCGTTACGGCCTAGCTAATGCTTTCATAGATTGCCTGATAGGTGGAATATTTGCCATAGTTGCCACGCTTGACGGGCGAACAGCGATTGCATCTGCAGTTTTTTATTATTTTGAATTATCATCTTGTTATCAGAAAAACACTGCTGCCGATTTTCTGTTTCAGTTTCTCTTTGTTACATCTTATGATGCTCAAGCGATGATGCGGGTATATAGTAAATTCTCTTAGGCCGCCACATAAAAACAATGCTACAGCATTGTTTCTAAAAGTATTTTAAAGAATAAAACAACTGTAATGAAGATATGTAAGTAGAGTGATAAAGCTCGAATCTGACTAATGGTTTTCCTCCTCAGCGAATCAAGATACATATAATTACAATGAAGACTTGCAACTGACAAGTCTTTCAATCGGACTAAAGTCCAGGAAATGCAAATGATATTGCTAGAAATGTGCAGTCTAGACCAGAAAGAGCAAGGGAGGCCAAAATGAAAATTTTGAATTTCTTCTTATACTTGTAAAGAGTATGCCATCAAAGACATACATAACTTTTAAAAAAACCAAGTCTCGCAACTCAGTTCTTCTACCGTAAAAAGTTGTGAGATCCATGTAATACCAAGTAAGTTAATTTATTCAATCGCTACTTAAGTGTCCTTCTGTCTTAAGTTATTACGTAATAAGCTAACCTAACAACATCTTATAATGACCATATCAATGTTAAAAATATTAAGATTTTAGCGCGTAACACTGCCCCCTTCTAAGACATGCTCGTCCCGAGCATTATCGGTCCCATAATAACGCGCTAGGCGATCCACATGGACGATCTTAGGAGTCCCTCTTGCGCCTTTCTGTAACGGCTCCGCAATGTCAAGGGCTGTTCTATCCCGTGATGCACCAACATTGTACAATTTCGGTGCTCCTCTACTACGTGTCTGAGGTCCCCGCACGGCCGCATAACTTGTACATGTACGACACCAATCCTCGACATCGTCACGATAATGGACCCAGTAAAACTGTTCTCGGACCTTCAGTAGAGTTCGTTTAACTCCCAGATGGACTCTTGAACGACCATTATGGCACAGCTGTAGAACATTCGGCACTTTAGCTTTAGGGACAACCATTTGCAAACGACAGCTGTCCCTTCGACCATTGTCCCATTTACGGCACAGGACTCCATCCTGAATCAGCAAGCTGTCCCATTGGGCCCAATAGCTTTTCGTGGTTGAACTCATCGCTGAGACGTCCCTCCACTTAGGCTTGGTAGCACGGGCCTTCATCCATCCCAGAATCGGCTTGATGTCCGGATCTTCCTGCTGTGCATGTCGTAGGCTGTCCTTCCACCCGTTGCTGAGGTGGTCTGTCCTGAGCATCCTCACGGATACCACTTCCTTACTCTCTTGCCTACTACAATGGTTGCAATCTTCAGGACAAGGTCTTCTTGTCAATGCATCTGCGTTGCCGTGAGATTTCCCGCTGCAGTGTCTGATAGTAAAGTCGTATTCCTGCTGCTGCTGGGCGGTGCTGTTAGCCGCACTTCTTTTCTGAGACCGTTCACCTTCCCTTCCTAGGGTGTGCTTAGGGCAGCTGGACCGAAGATGGCCCCTTTCCCCACAGCCATAGCACCTAGGGCTGTATCTTTTATTGTGGTCGCGAACCGTAACTGCTGTAACCTCCCTAGCGTGAGGTGAACGATGATCCTGTCGCCGCCAGGCAGTGCCGTTAGCTGTACTACCCTCTCGAGATCGATCAACTCTCCTTTCCACGGTTAGTTTAGGGCAGCTGGATCGAAGATGGCCCTTTTCCCCACAGCCATAGCACCTGGGGCTGTATCCTTTGCTGCGGTCACGGACTGTAGCTGCTGCAACCTCCCTGACGCGATGGGAAACGATGATCCTGCCGCACGGCTTCCATCTCCAGTGCATGGGCCAAGGCGTTCTTAAGCGTCTCGTGGTGCCCGAGCCTCACAGCGGCTCTGACTTCCAGGTCACGGATGCCGTCGATGAATGTCTGCACCAGGTTCCCTTCAATGAGCGCAGGTACAGACCGGTATGCTTTTCGCACCAGCTTCTCCACCTCTAGAGCCCACTGCTGCAGGTTTTCGTTGATGCGCTGCACGCGATCTTTAAGCTGCGCACGAAAGACGTGTTCCAGGTGAGCGTCGCCATATCTCACCTCCAATGCCTCAAGGAGTTGCTCATAAGTCACTTCCTCACCGAGAGCTTCCAGAACTGTTAAGGCCTGGTCGCGCAGGCCTAGTGTGAGAGCAGTCATGGCCTGACTTTTATTCCAGCCGTTCGCCTTCATAACAGCCTCGAACTGGATTTTGTAGGCTGACCAGGAAGAAGTCCCGTCAAACGGTGGCACCTTGAACCCACGTGGCGAAGGTGCTGAAGCTACTACGGGAGCTGTGGTTCCATCCCCAAGTTTGAGTTCATCCAGCGTTTTCTTAACTTGGTTGATTTGGGTCTCAGCTTCCGACAGGCGGTTATCATGTTGAGCAACCTTATCCTTCACCTCCCTTATCTCTTTCCCGAAGGTAGCGTGAAGGTCCTTCATGAGAAGCATCTGTTCTTCCTGGCCGCCCCGCAGCTGCTCTTCCAACCGACGGACCTGTTCCTCCTGTCGGCGAGCCTGTTCCTCCTGTCGACGAGCCTGTTCCTCCTGTCGGCGAGCCTGTTTCTCCTGCTGCTCTTTCAACAGACGGGTCTGTTCCTCTCGTCCGCGCTGCAGCTGCTCCTGTAGCATCGCCATCAGAGCACCTAAGTCAGGTGCTGCAGGTGTAGGAGCTACTGACGGGTGCGCAGCCTCCGTGGCTGGCAGTTGGCCCTCCGACGTCTGCGGCGTTGCACCACCAAATCTCCTCTGGTCCGTCTCATGCTGGCGTTGACTGCGGGTACGGACACCCTCCGTTTCCTCCTTAGGTAAAATCGGCATTATTTTATCCCACTTCTGACACCAATTGTTACGAGCTTGAGGTTCGTGACAATAAAAATTGCCGATAAAATTACCTAAATTAACGCTTTAATTTACTTTACACAAATTAAAACTAAAAACACTAATAATTAAACACACTAATTCACTTAATTCCGCTCCGAAGCTTCGCTTGTGTCGCCGAGTTCAACTCTACCCGATCGCATCTTGCAGCGCCTACTTATATAAATTAGCAAAATATCCAGAATGTTCAAGTAAACACGCGCAAGGTACCGAGCGTTCGAGTTTTGAACTTCAAGAAGTTTAGTCCTTTGGTTCGAGACTAGATGGCGCTAGTGCGCCGATTTTAGCGCGTAAAAATATTATATTCAATTAGATTGCTTAGTGCGATTGCCAAGTCAATCTATATATTTAAAACATATAAGATTTTTAACATGTTTATGGCCACTATAACATGTTGTTAGGTTAACTAATTACATAATAACTTAAAACAGAAGGACCCTTAAGTAGGGACTGAATAAATTAACTTACTTGGTATTATTACATGGATCTCACCACTTTTTACTATAGAAGAACTGAGTTGCGAGACTTGGTTTTTTTTACAAGTTATGTATGTCTTTGATGGCATCTCATTTCTTTTTGTAGATAAGATATTCCTAATTTTTTTTTCCTTTCCGATATCTTCTACTTCTTTAATACCAACAACGTACCTATCTACACCTATTATACATGTACAGGTACACTGATTCAATCACTGCAAATGTAACTTTGTAATTCTATATATTTATATGGGATTACAAAGTTATTTATGCAGTTAGTGTATCTAGAAAACTAGACCGAAATTGAAAAATATTTTAGTTTTTCCTTGATTTATATACTAAACACTAATTTTATTCTAAATTTGAAGCTTCTATGTCCGCTAGAAGTGCCTTAGAGTTTTGATGATTGGTCAGTCAGTGAGTGACAAAATTAAGAAACTTTGACTAGTTATACTTCTTAAACTACTGGTTCAAATTAAAAGAAATTTAAAATATACCACGTTTATACAATGTCTACTTGGTTACTGAAAATTCAGGCTTCCAGTTTTATTCACTACGAAGTTATAGAGGGTCGAAAATGGCCTGAATTGTTTCGACTTGCCGGGCATAGCCGTGTCCCCAGATATCAAATTGATATAATATAATGCTGATTATTAGATAGGTAATACGTATATTATGTTATTTGTATTAAATAAGCCTTGTTTTTTTAAGGAGGATAATGTGTGAGTTATTTTGTTATTTACTATAGCCACTACCTAGCGCG